GGTAAAAGAATACAAATGTTCCCTAATGATTTTGAATGTACTAGTGTTGTTGGTTACAAGAATAATATACAGTTTAAAATGTTAAAAGTCTTGTCATTTGTTGATTTGTTACAAGTTCATGGACTACCATTAAATACTTATTCCCAAATTTTATGTAAAATTTGAAGGTATAAAGTTGGGCGAGTGGAACAATTGGAAACATTAGAGGAAGCAAAATCAAAAGGTCTATTGCTATAAGTTTTATGACCTAAATGTATTTTCTTTTATGGTAATATTAAGTGTCATATTTTGTCATTTATAGATAATGTGTTAGCAACTTACATGTATCACAAAGGAAATTAGCAAGTTACACCATCAACCTTGGTCAATGGAAACATTGGGCCTCAAGTTGTTCATCTTCTTGCTATAAAGGAGGTATATTCTTTTTAGTTATATAGCATTGTTGTTATTTCAAATATATTACTATTATTTAAATACTTTATTTAAATATAACTATATTCATTGTTTATTACATTTGTCTACAGGGTATAAGAAGTCTTGATAATAATTCAACTGCATATATGGATTTCCCTTTGTTGATTGTGTTACCTTATAGTTTTGGGTTGGATGAGTGAGTGATGATGCTTCATGTGCAGCTTTAGACTTTTGTTAAAAGAATTCAAAATATTGATGAACAACAATGAAATTATTATTATTTTCTATAGACTACAATTAAATTAGTTTTTTATTTATTATTATAATGAAAAAATGTGTTACTATAAGTAGCATGAATTCTAAAATCACATGTAATTAGTGGTTAAAAATATATGCGAAAAAATATTTTATTGTATTGTGGCAAAGAAAAAAAGTGCCACTAAAAAGTAGGATCAATTTTGGAATTGAATTAGTTTTTAGCGGCACAAATTATGTGCCACAAAATAGTTTTTGTCTACTGTGGCAAATAAATAACTGTCACTAAAACCCAAAAAATTGTAGCGTCAAAACTGAAAAGTGTCACCAAAGGGTTTTAGTGGGAGCGTTTCTAGTGACACTTTTTATTTGTGCCGCTAATTCTCTTTGAAACATTTAGTGGCACTTTTTTGGGTATTTAGTGGCACTTTTTTATGCCACTAAATGGCATTCTTTTTTTATAGTGAGTGGACACCATTTTGAGATGGCTATTCTCCAAAGAAATTGTAAATGAGAGAGACACAATACTAAAACATAATTGAAACCAAATTTTCTGCTTTTTTCCCATAAGAATGCAATATATGAATATATAGATGCAACCTATAACTACTACTAATTTGGAAACGTGAATCATGCAAATATACTACTTAAAATAGACCACTAATTGCTAGAAATAAGGAAACATTGGCTATCACTAAATGCATGCATAATGGGCAGAAGAAAATAAGAGACTTGGTCTTCTAAGGAGACATGTTCGTATCAATACTCCGCCCTTGAAAAATGGCCTTGTCCTCAAAGCTGATTTATGTGAATTCCGATAGCAATCGGGTCGTACCCATGGATGGAAGGAGGTGGCCATGGAGGTGGCCTTAGGTATGGGACAGACATATGTATCAGTTTGTCTCCACCTAAAAAGGAACTCGTTCTCGAGGCACAGTGAGTTTGTTTGGAACTGTTTTCGATAGTTTTGTGGCCGGAATTGTTTTCGGCAGTTTTATGTAGGTAGTTTTTGAGGGTGGCATCATCGGAGGTAGGAATTGTTGTTGTGTTGAAGGTGTCGTGGTTAATGATGGTGGCGGTTACGACGGTAGAAGTGGTTGTTGGGTTGACATGGGCGATTGCAATGGTTTTGGAGGGGGCGGTGGCAATAACGATTGTTTTGGCGGCGGTAGTGGCGGTGTAGATGTCAGCGGCGGCAGCCTTAGCTGCTGATTCGGTGGTGGAAGCGGCGGTGGAGATGGGATGAGTTTGGCCATGGTTCCGGTTTGAATGCCAATGAGGGTGTTGACAGTGACCATTTGTGTGATAATTGCATCAAGACGGCGAATATTAGCAGTGGAAATAGTGATGAGTGTGGAGAATTACTCCCGTATACTTGGCGGTGTGACATCGGTGGACGGATCTTGACGAGGAGGCATGATGAATGGGAATGAAAGCACCATTGATAGACACCACTTAGATATAGCTATTCTCCATAGAAATTATAGATGAGAGAGAGAGAGAGAAAAAAAAATACTAAAACATAACTGAAACCAAATTTTCTACTTTCTTCAAATAAGAATACAATATATGAATATATAGATGCAACCTATTACTACTACTAAACTGGAAATGTGAATCATGCAAATTCACTAGCTAAAATAGATAACTAATTGCTAGAAATAAGGAAACATTGGCTATCACTAATTGCATGCATAACGGGCAGAAAGCAATAGGAGACATGTTCGTATCACCGTATTATCATTTCACTTTGTTAGTTAGCGTGGAGGGAGCTGACGACAGATTGATTAGGTTGGTCGGTGATGGTACTAACTGTACCGTCAAGTTCTCAATTCCCTACAAAAAATAGTATAGCTCAGTTGGTGTTTGGCGGGTTCTTCACCTTGGGGCGTAGCTACAGACACCCAAGGTGAGTCCTAGGAACTACCTAAATTTTAATATTTTCTAGAAATTATATAGAAAATTTTTATGACCTACCTTTTAGTATTGCAAAAACTTAAGGACCTACCTAGTTTTCAATGAGGGAACTTTTTAGTTCTAGATTTGCAACTGTTATTCACCCCGTTTCTTCCCCCCATTCTCTAGACTTTATCTCTCTCTATCTCTTCTTTATATATATACACACACGATATATATATAGATATATAATATATATATATATATATATATATATATATATATATTATATATATAGATATATAGAGAGAGAGAGAGAGAGAGAGAGAAAACGCTAAAAATTGAGAACTTTTTTTCTATACAAATTTTTCAAAAACAAAAACCCAGAAATTATCATTTGTTGCGTTAAGCCATTCCAAAAAATTGAAAAAAAATAATTTTTTTTCATACACATATAAAACATGTGCATATATATATATATATATATATAGATATATATATATATAGATATATATAACACCACACGTGCGCACATTTTTCAAAAAAAAACCAAAAAAAAAGAAGAAAAAAAGAGGAAGAAGAAGAAAGAAACAAAGTCATTACAAGCCTCTTCGATGTCTAAGAGAATTGTTTGAAAGGATTACAAAAAAATAATATATATATATATATATATATATATATATTATATATATATATATATATATATATATATATACACACACACTAGCCGTTACCCGCGCAAAGCAGCGGCGGCGAATAGTTTGTTTCGGCATATAGTTTAATGTGGGGATTAGTTTCCTTTATGCACGAGCTAGTTCATTACGGTCTTTTTGCAGTCTGTTTTATGTTGGATAGTTTATTTCAATGGATAGTTTCTACATAGGTGGATAGTTGGACAATACAGCGGAATTATAGTAGGAATGTAAGATAAGGAAAACCGTGATGTGTCCCTCTTTTCTTTTCTTCCTTCCTTCCAAGTGAAACCCTAAAATCAAACACTTCAAAACAAGTTGTTAAAAATTAACACATAAACTTAACCCACGCTAAAATTAAAATGAATGATGAACTATAAATTAAATCAATATAAATCAAAACTTAACACAATTTTCAGTATTGCAAAATTTTAAAGTTTTATTCGTTTGCAGGTTGTATATCGAAATCCAAGTATTCATTAATATGTGTTCTTAATAGTAGAGTATAGGTGATGTATATTTTTGGATTAGTTTGAACCGTTTGTTTTAGTTTCATTTACTTTTCTAATTGTATACAACATATTATACGTTTGAATGACAATTCAAATTTTCAAATCAAACAAAAACATAACAATTTCATTATTCAAATCAATCAAAGACATGATAATAGAAGGGTTAATGACTTAAAAAGGTAATTAAGTTTCAATATTATACAAAATACACCATTGAAGTATATCCTATTTAAAAATGACCAACCAACTTAACAAATCTTTCACATAATACCATCTGAATTGACTTTTCTTTCTTATATTCCATTGTGTAACCGGTTCTATAGATTATAAGGTAAAGATGACTGGAAAAAAAATCAACGATTACCGTTCATCGTCCTCTCCATCTCTTCCTCACTTCCGTTCCAGCTCTAACCGGAGACCTGCTGTACCTCCCCCTTGCGCACTGCCTTTTTCGAGCCAACAACCAAGCAACCCCTCGCATGCTATTGTTCATCATCCTCTCCATCTAGAAACCTGCAACAAAAACCATAAAAGGAACCAACAAAAAAAATGTTGTTGCTCACTGAGAAGTCAGAACCACCTCTTGCTGCTTTGCTTTGCTCCAAGAAACATCACCAAACTAACCCATTTTACAGCCCCTGTGGGGATGGCTTTTTCCATCCATATTCAAACCACCCAAGTTACATTAATTTCATGTAGTAGACTAAAAAGCCACAACAAGTGTTATTTTTTTCTTGGTAAACTATACCTCAAAACCGGTAGAACCCGTTAGACAAGGGAAAAGAAGAACAAAAAGTCAATTTAGATGGTATTGTGTGAACGAAATCTTAAGTTCAATGGTATTCTGTGAACAGGATATACTTGGATGGTGTTTTTTTTAACAAAATTGGAACTTAGTTACCTTTTTAAGGCATTAATCCATAATAGAATGTCATGAGTTATTCCATTATCTTCTTCATTCCATTCGTTTTTGAACCCATTCAATAACACCAAACAAACTCCTAAGTTTAAAGTCCATGACTTAAAAGATTCAACTTTAGAATACAATTAATATTACCCAAAATACACAGTTTGATTATGAGACCATGATCAAAAGAAACCAACTAAACTACAGAGTCTGAATACAAAAACTATAGCTAATTTGAATGTTTCTTGCCATCTTTCAAACAGAAAAACCAAAGACAAAAATCAACTTTGAACTCATATAGAAACCATGAAATTACTTACTGTTTTATTGAATTACTGTTTCAATTGCATCTGTTTGATCCTCTATTTTGTTGATCTCCTGAATCCAAATCTTCACTGTTTTATCATTTTCAAGAGCACCTGAAGCAATCATATTCTCAATTAGGTGACAAGCAACTATTATTACAACATCTGTGTGACCTTCAAGTTTTTGGACTATTTTTCTTGTTTGAAGTTCCCATAAGTATACACAATTGTCCTCTGAGCCACTCACGATGTATGTGCCATTTGTGATTGAAAATGCTGATAACATGCAGTATTTTGAGTTTGTGTGGACATTGTTAGTCTTTAAGAACTTGCCAGTTGATAGGTCCATAACCTCTGCATTAAAACAAAATGACATTTTTAGGGAAATTGGTGGGATTCAATGTGAATATAAGGCCAATCAGATTCAAGGGAAAAGATTATCATTCTGAATACTATGAACAAGATATGAATTACTGATTTCAAGGAAAAGAAATAAGAATTCACTCGCCAATGTACTATCCAGGGTACCTACAAGAAAAAAGTTTCCATTTGGGGAAAATTTGACAAATCTAACAGGGGGGTTTTCATCATCGATCAAAGTCTTCATACAATACCCTGTAGATGCATCCAAATCCTACACAATCCATCGTAGCTACTGGACATTATTAATGTCCAGTCTCGATTAAAGTTAACATCAGTTACGGGATCAGAATGCGCAGGAAGCACCTTCAAGAATTTGTTGGATTTCACGTCCCAAACCCTAACTATCTCTTTGAAAGAACCGGAGACAATCATTTTCGATTGAGGGTTGTAATTCACACAGAAGACGAAGTTTGTGTGTCCAGTTAGCGTTTTGACGAGTGAGCTAGTGGATACATCCTAGGAGTGTACGGTCTTGTCATCGGAAGCGGTGGCGAGGTACCGAGCATCGGATGAGAATGCGACATCTGAGATTCCTTGTTCGTGGCTGATGAATTCTTGGAGAGGAGATCCGTCGGAGGTGGACCATGTGCAGGCGGTGTTGTCGGCGGAAGTGGTAGCGATTAGCTTGTCGTCACCATTGGAGACTCAATATGATCAAATATGGGGTAATCATTCATCGTTTTGATGTTGGTGTCACTGTCAAGGGAATTAGATTTCAAGTGAATTTGCCATTAAAGAAAAGAATTTGGTAACAAAAATCCCTTCTCAAATGTGATCAATTCAAGTTTAGGAGTGAAGAACCAAACGAAATCCAAAACCAATACAGAAAATCAAAAAGTGCGAGAACCCAAAATCCAGAGATATCAAAAAATGCAAAAAGCCAAAATCGGGCGATAGAAGTCCTATACGGTAAAACATGAGCCAACTGAGATACGATGAAACATAGAACACAAATAGGTGAAAGTCAAATCGAAACATAAAGAGAGATGAGAGTTAGAAAATCGAAGAACAAATAGGGTTTCTATGGGTTTTATGGTTTGGTGAGAGAGAGAGAGAGAGAGAGAGACGACGACGACGACGACGAAGATCAGTGAACAAAATCTTGTGATGGTGCATTTGTGAGCATTGGGTTTTTGTAGGTGGTAGAGCCATTAAATTTGCTGAAGGCGTAGGATATCTCGGCGACATATGAGGGATCTTTTTAATAAAAAATTTAAACTTATGTTGACTCTTTCTAGTCAAAAGGTTTATTTTTTTTAAATTTAAATCCAAAACTATATTGGGAAAGATAAGGACGATAGGTCTGAAACTTTGCATGTTTCAATGTATATTAAACACTTGTACTTAATGCATTACATTTTGTAATTTAATGATGGTTAGTTGTACTAATAGCTTAAACACTTGGACGTCTTAATTTTATTTTTAGAAATAGTAAGGTTTGTATAATAATCTAGTAATATATATATATATATATATATATATATATATATATATTAAGATAAAAAATATTAATAAAAAAGAAAAAGACAACACCAAACATACATTCAACTTGCGTCTAAGAGTTGGTTAAAAAAAAGAGAAAAAACATATTTTTAATATGCATATGCACATACACTAAATGCATATAAAAAATCATTTTTTAAAACAATTTAGATGCATCAAATAATGAATTTTGGTATTATTATTATTATTATTATTATTATTATTTATATTTTTTGAAAAATGATGTGTAAAAAAAAATTTCATTTTAAGTTGATTTTTATTAACATTGGTGTTGCGTATACGAATCAGAAACATAGTGTTATAAAATGTAGTATCATTTATGATTTTATAAGTAAACATTACAATTATGTAGTAAAAATTTAAAACTTTCTTTTGTCTTAACTACAAAGGGGATATATTATGGCCACTCGATGATTTGTTGCATACATCTAAAGTGATTGACCAACCCCGGACTAAATTGATGTGTTTAATTAGTAGTCTGAAATCGGTCGTCATAAATCGGGAAATTGAGAAATAGAATCTTGGACTATGAGATGATTCTAATCCACGTCTCATGTCTATATGATATCTTTTAGAACGAAGGAATAGCTGATCACTTATCTTAAAGCCAACGTTTGATTCAAATCAGAGTTCGGCACTGGTTTTGGAAAACACACTTTGTTGTTTAGTTCAAGGTTATACTTGCAATTATAGTTTTGGACTTATCCAAGTGGGAAACTGTTGGATTAAGGTGTCCAAGTTCATAACTAAATTTGTATATTTTTGTAATTAGAAGCAAAGTCCTTTTTGGGTTGCCCTTAGTAGAGAGAGGGTAACTTTATTAGTTTATTATATGATTAATAAATTGTAAATGATTAATATATTAGTTGGAAATAGATAGTTGATTTTTTTAATTTATTATGTGATTAATAAATTAATATGAGATCAATAGTTAAATAATTGATTTGTTAGTTTATATGATGAATAAATTAACGTGAAATCAATAAGAATTAATTAATTACTAATAAAAATAATTTTGGAATTAATTCGGAGTTAATTAGAATTAATTAAAATTCCAAGGATGAAATATAATTGTTCTAAATTGAGCAAGGAAGGTGTAACATCCAGCCAATCAGGTATTTTCCTTCTTGCCTCAAAGTATTAAAGTATTGAACAAGTGGTCCTTATGACATGCGTACACAGGGCGTAAGCCCTTAATGTTCGACGCGAATCTTTGTGAGTATGACAGGCTTACTCAATGGGTATGCATGGTGTAATCGTCGGTCATGAAAACCCTAAATCCGTGGTTTTGAGCCCTATTTAAGCAACTTAACCCAAATCAATCCCTTCCACCTTCAGCCTCCATCCTCCCAAACGATCCTTTGCAAACCCTAATCTCCATTTGAGAGTTTTTGAGCTTTTTGAGTGTTTTGTGTTCATCCTTGAAGGAAAGAGTCCTTTGGAGAGCATTTGATGAGCATCAAGCTTTATGGATCTGGAACCTTCATCTTTCTATTAACCTCCAGAAGGTACAAAGTTCTGAACTTGATGAATATTTCATTAGATCTTGCTAGTTCTTGAGTTTTGTGCCTTTTGGTTCCATAATCTTGGTATATTTGAGTTTGGCTTACTCTAGAACAAATGAGTTGTCCTTTCAAATGATTTTGAGTATTTGTAGTATTAAAAATGTGATCTTGGTCCCTTTCTTCCATCCATGCAAGAGTTATGAAGCTTGGGTTTTGGGTAGTAAGTTAGGGTTTGGATTTTGAGCACCTCCTAGCCATGCAAAGTCATAAAGTTGGAAATTTTATGAATAAGGAGGTTATTTGGGGACTGAATCTGAGTTTTGGATGTAGGGTATTAAGGGAATAAGCACTTAATAATGAATTAGGAAGTTGGTTAAGTACAGCGGGCGTACCTGAGGGTATGCAACACGTAGCCCTAGAGGAACCCGTAATCTGTCGAGCCCCCCTCTATGTTGGGCGTAGAGTTGGAGTACGCAGGGCGTACTCACCCTGTTGGGAGATCTTTGACTTTTTGAGCTTTAGCTGTTGACCATGACATTGACCAAGTTGACCTTAAGGTCATTTTGGGTAATTTTAATAGTAGCTTGAGATTAGGTCATTGTTATGTTTATAGGTGATCTATAGAGGCAGTATTTGGAGTAGTGGTCTATTCAGCTATTCTCAGACTGTGAGGTGAGTTTTCCTCACTGTACTCGTGGGTTGAAGTCACCAATGCCATCCAACTAGGTTATGTATCCTGGTATATAGGATGATGTTATGTTGGTTATAAGATAGATTAGTAGACATGTATGGTACATGTATTTGTTAGATATGTGTTTATGTTTATATGTGATATATGTCGACATAATATGGTTGGGTTGAGGCGGTCATGCTTTGTGCTGAAGGCCAAGATACCCGAGGCGGTCCGGATAGGCTGTAAGCCCTGCGAGGCGTTCCAGTCAGGCCGAAAACCCGAAGAGCGGTCCAGATAGACTGTAGGCCCTGCGAGGCGGTCCATTCAGGCTAAAGGCTCATATTTGCATGTCGTTATCTGTTTGGTTGTGTGTGGTACTTTGAGGAACTCACTAAGCTTTGGCTTACAGTTTGATTGTTATGGTTTTAGGTACTTCAGAGGACAGAGGCAAGGCGAAGGATTGATCGTGCACATCATCCTGGATTTTTATGACTTTTGGAAACTATGATTTTGTGATATTCGTGGATTTTGGATTGGTTTAAAAATGAAAAATTTTGCGTTGATTTCGGGATGTTATAAGTTGGTATCAGAGCCTGGTTTGAGAGAATTTGATGAACATTCGTGTGAATCCGGATTGAAACTAAGGATCTGCAAAAGTTTTCAAATCATTTTCAATACTGTTATATATATATATATATATATATATATATATATATATATATATATATATATATATATATATATATATATATATATATATATATATATATATATATATATATATAATGAGATGTCTACGATAATCCGGAGCAAGGAAGTATACCCTAAGATACCCACACTTTTATTTGCTTATGATGATTACGATAGAACTGCATGCTAATTGTAGGCTAGGGATCTTCAGGAATTGCATGATAGAATTGACTGAATTGTGATGCCTAATAGCCTAGGAGATTTTCTTGTATGTTAGATAGAGTTGACATCATTACTGTAGTTACTTAGTGTATGCACCATAATAGTACATAACTAAGATTTTATAGCATGAGAATGTTTTATTTAGCCTTATTTCTTGTTCCTCGTTTGGTTATGGGCTTAGGGTAGAATTAAGTATTCGACTATCTATGGAATCTAGTGTTATGTACGATTAGCATGGATGAATGGCTGTAGGGTTGGTGGAAGTTCCATGAGTGAGTGCAGTTTATAGCAGGCCAGCGTAAGGAAAGTTTAGCCACTATTGAGCAAATGTATAGGATGTATGTGTATCCTATATGTTGGGTTTTGCAATCGGTTGGTCTGTGACGACCCCTTGATACGAATACGTGTAGGTGTGGAAAGTAATATCGGCTCGTACTAGCAAAATCATAGGACCCGTACGCATAGCAAGGAAGTCACGAACCCCGAGGGTATAGTCTTTCCTTAATGATTGTAGTAGTATGATTTGTGACAATTCTGGTGCATTTTGGTTCATTTTCAGTATGGTGTACACAAAGGGTTCTGGATCAGGAGCAGGCGGCACGGCAAGGCCAAGATTGACTGATGACGAGATTAGGGAGTTGATCTCCACTGAGGTGATTGTGGCCTTTTGGGGTGCTATCCCGGAGGTTTTTGGGTCTATTAAGACAGCGATACACTGTCGTGACCGAGGATGTTGTTTCCGCAGCCACCAAAGTTGTTGTTGCTGCGGGGGTTCAGGG